CGGACTTTTCATCCTCAGTTTTCGTGTCCACGTATTTCGACATATATAGGAGATCTGAAGAAGGTGATCGAACAGATGGAATGCTTGTCGTTGAAAACGATTACTTCTCGTAAAATGGCGTTGCAGAGCTCATTACACGGATAACAGCGCTGGCTGCTTGAACTACGGGTGAAGTGGAATGAATTGGGAAAGAAGTGCTGTACAGGGTATTTACGTATGTTGCATGGGGAACACTTTAGCCAAAGCACACCAACATAAAAGCGCGAAAATAACGCCGACAGATAGAATGAACGAGGGTGGTGGTTCCACCAATCATAGGTCCAGATGTGCCACACAATAAAGAGATGATGAACGGATAGTGTGGAATTTAGATGGTGGGAAATACGGCGCACGTTTAGAGTTCAGAACACAGTTGTTGGTCACACAAACAAGGAGTAATGAAAGTAGAGTAGGACAGAGGTAACGATAATAAGTACCAGCAGCAAGCATTGGCAAAACAAAATAATAAGGTAGTTGGTTACGTTAGGTTGAGATGCATGGTTCGCATGAGGCAATAACAATGATTGAAAGATACAGAAAACACTGACAACATCCTTCGATGGCATTTCAGATGTTGTTGATAGGTCTACAATGTTTGAGCGAACTGGTCATGAATAAACCAACGGTACTGCTACAAAAATAACTAGAGTGAATTAATTCTTCGTGAAAACATCACTGATCAGGAAAACAGAAGTCGAATGATTAGAGGAATGATTTCGGTAACTGCGGCGTTGCAGAGGTAAACGCGGTAAAATGAAGGAAATGATAGCAACAGAAATAAACTGCAGCAGACTACTGTAGCCGCTTAAATCATTTTAAAAAATAATGAGAGAGAAGGAAATTCCCATGACCGACTTTCTGTTAACCTCGGCATTAATTGATAATTCAATGTTTTTCATCAATAAGCAGACACGAGGTTGTTAATATAGAATTTATTAGAACACAATTGCTGACGTTTCGGCGGTTTCGCCTTCTTCAGAGCCTGGAAAGGTCAAATTGAGATGCGATCTACTCAGCCAAACACTTTCATAACCCTAGCAGATAAAACTTGATAAATCGATTTGTATTCGCATAAGAAACAGCTTCATTCAAACACCTACCGTTTATTTGTTGTAAGTATTTAAGTTAGTTGGTGGATAGCCGCCGCACAGAGTAATACATGGTCGATAACTGGGTCCATGTCAGATCATTGGATCAGCCTGAGGTATGGCGCTAGGTCACGCGTGATGACAAGACACTCCTCCTTGCGGTTCATTTTTGAATTTTTGGCATTGATCCAAAACGCTTCAAGAGTTTTTCGCGCTGATGTTTTCGATTCCTGCGTAAGGATAGTGACTCCTACCTCAAAATCTTCTCCGTTGTGTTCTTGCATCCTATGCGCGCCTAGTGGGGTATTGTGTTTTAGTTTAGATTTACCGACTAGGTGTTCTTTTATGCGGACGCAGAGCGGTCTACCCGTTTCGCCAACATATTCGTGCCCGCACGCTTTACAAGAGATCAGATAGACTGTACCCGAACTCATGCAATCACCGTCTCTACCATTTGGGCAAATTATGCAGTTTTTTGTTGTACATAGACGGTCGTACAGGCGGTTGCGAACTAGCTGGCGTCTTAGAGTGTCCGGTGGTATTTCTATCACTCTTACGAAATTCTCTAGACCGGCCCTTATTAAGCAGCGTTTTATAGCTGCACTTACTTCGTTTGAAATAAAGGGCAACAGAAACGGAGCCTTGTTTTCACTAGAATTATCGCTTTGGGGCGTGGGATTTCCTCGATGCCTATCCTGAGAAGCTACAGTTTCGTAACCATTTGAGATGGCTATTTGTCGCGCCAGTTTCGAGGATTCTTCCCTCTGCTCTCTACCTGTGCACACGCTAGCGGCGGTTCGAAACATATTTCTTATAAGCGCTCTTTTAGTGTGTGAGGGGTGAGAGGAGCGGTAGTGAACCACTATATTCTTACTGCTCGGCTTTCGATACCATTTTGTGGTGTAGCCGTTCTCGGATAGGTTAATTTGAAGGTTTAGAAATGGAAGCCAGTTTTCTTTCGGTTTCTCACGGGTGAATTTTATGTACTCTGACTGTTCAAGAAGGCGAAACCGCCGAAACGTCAGCAATTGTGTTCTAATAAATTCTATATTAACAACCTCGTGTCTGCTTATTGATGAAAAACAGAGAAGGAAATGTCTAAAAATTCCATCCTAATGTGGATCTGAATTCAAAAGGGACGATAAGAAGTTCTACACAACCTACCATACCATCACTAATCACACAACGTAGCCACATTAAGAAATAGTTTTGAAACTGCTTTCGTTCATGACTGAAAATCGTTGCCGTATCAGTAAGGGAGTTTGTTTTACGAAAGAAATGGACTTTATTGCAAATTTTAAATGTTTTTTTTACTTGGAATTGCACTAACTCTAGAAACGTTAATTGAAAATATGGTAAGATTCGAACCTCCACTTTTTTGGCTTTTTTTCGCCTTCATCCTTGACCAACCACTTGGTTTACTAACTTCGAAAATCGCTTACACCTCAAGAATGGCCGCATCCCGGAAATATCTATTTGCAGGGCAGCAAACCTTGTTCCAATCCGGAATTGCTGGCCACGGCTCTCGATGAAAACTGGAGAACTCCGTAGTGCGGCTATATCACGATTCAAGGGCTTGCCATACTCGATCAGAGTTCGCAATGTTAATGGGAAAAGGTAATTACACATCATCATTCTGTAGTTAAGTACCTACATAAACCCAGACTATTCCGTGGATGATGGTTGCAAAACAACTGAACGACATGAAAAAGTGTTGGTGACCGAGTTCCACGTAATGGCAGGCTACAAAAGAATCTAAAAAAGAACTTTCTTTAAAGAAAGCGAAGAATGTATTTCTACATGTTAAAAAAGCATGTTCAAGAAAAAATTCATTACTGATCACTCCGTGAGAACAGTTCACAAAATTGTTGACACTACCATCATCTCATCAAGTAACAACGGACACTAGACGGTCCTCATCCCTATTCTGCAGTATTCACAGAAATGAAAAAGCTCATTTATCGATTTCACACAACGGTGAACTCTCACTGACTTCTTTAGACAAAAAAATAAACTAATCAAACTTAAAAACTGAATAAATTCTAGTTCTTATTGTGAAGTTATATATGGATACCCTAAGCAATAAGACTACCCGTTTTCATCAACTGTACCAAGTTCATCACGAGATAAGTAGGTAGTACTAGCAATTTCCCAGCAGAGATTGAAGAAGATACCGCAGAAGTTGTTTAATGCAATCACGGTAATATGAATCGCTTATGGCATTTACTATAGAACCACTCAAAAATGGTGTTTTGAATTAATAACGTTCCATGAGTGGCAAGAAGTTCGACATGAGAGAAGATCATGAAAGAAAGAGCCATTAAGTTTTTCCTCGATTTCATCTGATATAATTTAAAGCTATCAAACTGCAAGGTCATGCCCATCTAGACAGGAATTGCTATAGGCGCTAAAAACTCTTAATTTTAACATAGCGAGAACTTCTTAGTGGAATAGTGATGGTAGTGATGGTCAGAGTGCTTTAATCGACACTATACGGAAAGCATAAAACAATAGAATCAGAGTAACCGACGACTAGCAGAAATCCAACAAAAGGCCGTAAATGACTAATGCCACGTCTGCTTTCGTAGTATCCGTTCCACGTTTCCCATCCGTCATTTGCATCCGAGTATCATAGATGAATAACGTATGCGTCTTGTAGATGGATTACGATCACGTGGTTGCAATAACCTTCCCTAAGCTTTTCTCTAAGAAAAACTCAATAGTCTCACCATTCAAGGTACAATTTATCATAGTAAGCCTCGTGGTGATTTTTGCCAACAGTCGATTCTGGCCCAAATTCTTTTAATACTGACTTGAAGTACTTGTAATCTTCTACATTATCTCGAAAGACGCGATGGATTGCGATGTCTTGAAATACGAACACTATAGTGACTAGATTCTTCCTACCCAGATCAAACAATCCACCACAGGCCTTTCCGAAAAGGCAAATGGCTACCTTAAAACTGTTTAGTGGAGTTATCCAAGAATTCCGAAAGGAATCTAATTGAACCCACTTATTCAAAAAAATACCAAAATCCAGTTGTGCAGTAAGCAATTCTGCTCATGAACGAATTCGCAGACTTTTGTGGATGACAGACAGATTCAAGAGAACGAACGATTGAAGGAAGTTACAATGATGGTGGAAAATCATGCAAATTAAAAGGATAAATAAAGGATAAAGCTGGCGGCGTTGATCAATCCCTCAGGGACGCGCCATGCTAAGCAACGTTTGGAGGTGATTGAATGCATATCTGGCCTTTATAATGAATCGCTGTGGCCTACCGATGTAACGAGCTTGTGCTGCTACCCTCCCATACACGTTTGGTACGAATTTGCTGAACCCGGAAGGGTGGAAGACTTGGTGAGCCATGGGAGCGGGGATCGATTCCACGTGCGTGTTGCAGGGCGCCTCCGAGCACTGCCCCACACGCATCTGTCGTATAAATTAGGTACAAATAAAATGAAAAACTTTGAACCACGTTAAAAAATCTTTCAGTATGCTGTGCTTTTTGTTAAAAAATTTGTGTATGTAGCTAATTGACGTTTAGTTCTAAAATGGAATACCATTTACGCGTAAAACTATCAAGTCGAGACTGAATATTAGTAATCGGGCATCTATTTTCCCATTCATGTGGACAAGGCGAAAACCGTTATGATGGAGAGAGCAGCTGAGAATGAATGGTGGTGTGATACAAAAAACTGATACACTGATGGCTGCCTTCATAAAATATTACCGAACATTATGATATATTGTTAGCTGGAATGTGGCTCTTATGAAAGATAGAGCAAGCAGATTAAATGACGATATAACAAAAAAGCGGAGGGAATGCCTCATTTTTATAAGCACAGAGGAGGAAGAGGTGGTGGTGAGTGATGGGAGCCGAACAATCAGTGGAAAATAAAGACCTACCATTAGCGAAAGAAAATGTACAATCGGTGCAATCGTCCTCTTCAGGTTGGTCACATCTGATTTCTTCTTATGACAGCCTGTCGAATATGAGGTTCAACTATAACTGCACAAGTTCATGATCGTTCAGGCAAAATGGCCGGATCTCATTCAACGGCTGGTGAAAAATTAGACATGACAACAAATCGGAAGCCTGATCAGGTGAATAACAATAAAGGTGGTAAAGGCCAAAAAACTTTCGATGTCTGCGAAAAACAAGCATAAGTCACGAATGGTTAAGTACTCGACTAGATCTATCGTCAGTTCTGCTAGATAGTGGCTGATTTTTCGGCGTAACTGTCGATACATATGCCAGAAAAGGGGGCATCTAGCGCTTTGGTCTCAGGCGCCCTGTGATATACATAGGATCGATCCCCGCGCCCAAGGCTCACCAAGCATTCCATCTCTCCGAGGTGGACAAATCTTGTCTGGGAGGATGGCAGAACTGGCCCAATTGATAAGTAGGCAGACACCGCGAGCCTTTGTGAAGGCTAGGCATGCATTCAATCACCTCCAACGATGGTTACTGAAGACGAATGCATGGAGCATATCCTCAGTGATTGATAAACGTCGAAAGCTCTAGCCATTTATTTATGCCGGACAAATGGTACTTTTCATGGGGTGGGTAAGAGTAAACCTTTTGATTACAAGAGACATTACGAACAGGAGGTTAAACAATGACAATAATTCTTTGCAAAAAGGCCGCTTAGTCCGTATAATTATGAAACATTTTGCGATTGCCAACCACTAAAAAAACAGAAATGGGACAGATAAACTATAAAAAATAAAATGACAGAAACTCATTATTTTTTTACGAAGCATTTTCATCTACTTAGTGTTGGGCAGAAAATATCCCACCGTGCATTGAGGTCACATCAGATTTATCATCGAGCGCAAATGTTGCTGATTGAAGAAGACAGGTAGCTGATCATATAGTGAAAAAGCTCAAGCTTACATAGGATAATCCGCCTGCAATTTTTGGGTATAAAGACGAGAAAAACATATATGAGGATGACTATAGACAACATGAACATGACACCGTGTCATGGCGTTGACTGACGTCCAAATATTGGATTCCTCCGTGATGATTCTCAGCTATAGAAATCTACGAAATCTGTTCACGATTGCTGTTGGGAGCAATAAATTTCGTGAAACCATCGGTTCTTTTTCTAGGAATTGTAGAAGAATTAACGGAATTTTTCAGATCGCGGTAGCCAGTCATCACGGGCACACCTCACCATCTCCTAGTAGAAGCTACACGACCTCCACAACGCCGTCAGCAACACAAAGTCTGTCAGAGTTTCTATTTGTCTTCTTTTTCCATACATTTTACCCTAATCAATATCGAGTAATTTCAGACAGTTTCGAAGAATGCCTATATCCCTTCCGAGAAAAGGTTAAACATTTACCAACGTCTGTCCGTAAGGTGAGCTGAATGACGCGTGAAAGCCATTACTCTAAACTTAGGAAGATAAGATGAAGATCAGTCGCTGAATTCTTATAGGAAAAATATGAAGAAGAAATATATCGACTTTTTCGATCACCCCATCCTTCACATCTCGAACGACTCGCACCGGTTAAAGTTCAAATTGAAAAGGTGACTCGAATATCTTCGACTGTCACAAGGCTTCGAGTGAAGTTTATATGGTGCAGTCAACGGCACTGCAGTGAGAGAGAGCAAGAGAAAGGACGTCAGAGATAGAGAGATAAGGAGGGAAAGGTGGGGCAAGGAAAGAGAGAGAAGGAGAGAGGTAGTAACAATTTATCAAAGAAAATGGCACAATTTAACAATGTTTTCATCTAGGCTGATCTACTGGATCGTAAACGAAACACAGTAGTAACATGGAATGAATCACAATTGACGTACGACATCGGAAAGGGTGCACTTATTCAAAGGGTGGTTGCTTTCGTTGGAAACTGGAAAAAGTCCGATATTGTTGTCAGATAACCAAACAATCAGCAATGAGTGCTAGCATCTTAGAGACGAGCACCACATTCCTTTCAGATCGTTCAAGCGATGTAATCGTTCGAAAGCGGATCCGTGGCGACGTTACGGCGCATTACGAAAATTGCACGAGGTTTGTTCTAGTTTGTACCATATAGGACTTGATTGTCTCCTCAAAACGAACGTGCTCATGATGCATGCGATCGTACTGAATGAGATTTTTGTTGTTCTCCTCCGCCATCTCCGTGAAATCTAACAATCGACACTTCTTCCAAGTCTTGTCTATCAACACTCCCCTAGTTCACAAATTAATAGACCCGATTTGCAAAGAATAGCTACATCTTTTTTTTGAACTTGTAGAGAAAAAACTGGTATTTATTATCTATATAGTTGTAGTAGGACAACAAACGGGCATGTAGCACGGTGGTTAGAGTCGTTCAGTAATGCACACAAGTTCTTAATTCTACTCCGGTCTGGGTTAAGTGTCTCCATGGCAGACCATTTGGTGCCATATTTGTCTTTAAGAACGAAAATAAATTCATACAGGCCAAATATGTTCTTAATAAAATCTGTTATTTTGCAAAAATTCATCAATAATTAGATGAGCGATCATGATACTGCTTCAGATTGGCGGAATAGGATGTACTCCATCATCAAATCAGGTTAGCTCTCATGGACCACAAAAATTTTATCGAATCGAAGCAGGATCAACCCCACCACCTCCACCGTGTTAGTTACACTTTTATTGTTTATCTTTTACTATTTCAATTCCGTAAATGTTCGGAAAATTCGGACCGACTGTAGGAACGGCAGTAGCGGAAGACGTGTGTACTACGGTACTCCTTTGTGCTTCACTTGTATCACTGCTAATCTGGCACTCCATCAACTAATTCAAGCGTGCATGAGTAAATTTTCTTATGTCTCTGCCACGATTCAGTGCCGTCTAGTGTGATTCTGCATTTCAGAAAAACACGAAGATCATCACACATTTCACACGACTTTCTAGATTTTTACATTTTTTGAAAATACCTTTCTAAACTTTGCCGTCGAACCTCGGCGTCTTTCAATCAGCTCCCGTACATTTCCCAGTTATTTCGAAAGCAGAAAAGTAGTCCGCCGTTGGAAAGTCTGCATCTCAGAAGAATTACACAATCATTTTTGGACCTCTTAATGAACCAACAAGAGACGGACCATGTGTGCTGAAAACGATTAGATTCGATCACATAACCGAGGCTCGTAACCCATGCTTTAAATCAAAGTAGCTAAAAACGGAATTCTTACTTAGCTATTTGTTTGGAAGACCCAAATATGAGCAACATTAGAACTTATGGAAGGAAAATTAGTGGGAAACAAATGGTAAAAACCTCTCAGTGTGATATAGCGGGTGTACAAATTCTGCAACAAGAATACTTTTGGAATATACTATTTTCTTCTTCAGCTATCCCACCCATTACAACTGTAGAAGAGTACGGTGCTCTTGAAGAGTTACTAGCACCGAAACGGAAAAAAAGCAAAACTCGTAAATCTGAAAATAGTCACTATTGAAATAAGAAAATTAAGGTCACCTATTTTTATATCAAATTACGTTTTCTTTGTCAAAAATGAATAAAATTTCGAAGATTTCTACTAGGGAGTGCAGCTCATTGGTTGCAACTGAGCCGAAATTACACACTGGTTCATAATTGGTTAAATTCGGTTTTCTGGAATAGCTAAGCCCTCCATCGTTCCAGGATTGGAAAACTGATACCAAACCTAAATGAAGGGTGGTAGAGAGAAACACTGCTTTTACAGATCGAATGGCCTATGCGAGTTATTGCACAAACCTAAATATACATTCTCAAGATCGACTTTCTATTAACCTCGGCATTGGAATATGAATGTGTCGTTTTCTTGTTCAGCAATCGCGAGGTTTTTAAACAGCATACATTTACTTCCATATAGAAAAACACAATACAATACAACACTAGCTGACGTTTCGGCAGTATCGCCTTCTTCAGAGCCTGGAAGGGTATACTGATATGCAATCTACTAGGGCAAACGCTTCAATGACATTTTTTATATTACTACGCTTTGTGTTAGCTGATAATACACCGACCTCTGCACGATGTGCGCAATGATGTATGTCCGGAAGAAATACAAGTTGTTACCACCGGACACTGTCATTATATATCCACCATCAGCATCGTGTATAAAAGGGCATCACTGAGTGAGGATGCCTTATTCGAGAAGATGGCTCACTGAGGAAGATCTGGCTCGACACGAAGGCGAAGACGCAACGTCGAGGTGAACAACAAGCATGGACCATCGACTTGGATCACCGGCTCTGAGGAAGACGAAGACGTCGAAACGTTAGCCGAAAATAAATATATTTATATTGCTACACATATTATGCTACACATATGCTACACATATACATATTGCTTCAATGACACTTACAAAAAGATGAAAGACTCTTCGGTAATTACATGATCAACAACTTCGCGAAAAAAACCCACCGCTTTTTCGTGACTTCCAATGAGGAAGTTTAGAACAGCTGATTATAGTCGCATGTGGTTGACGACTGCACCATCCCACATCAAAAATCGATGCGAAGGTACTACGAACGTAGTCAATATCCTTGCACAGGAGACTAAAATACCAACGCGAAAACTTCTTGAGGTTTTGTGGAAAAATGCCAAAAACCTTACAATGAATAGCAGGGATGAATGCCCGGAGGTCATACGCGACCTGATCCCGTATGTTCGCATCGATTTTTGATGTGGGATGGTGCAGTCGTCAACCACATGCGACTATAATCAGCTGTTCTAAACTTCCTCATTGGAAGTCACGAAAAAGCGGTGNACGCAACGTCGAGGTGAACAACAAGCATGGACCATCGACTTGGATCACCGGCTCTGAGGAAGACGAAGACGTCGAAACGTTAGCCGAAAATAAATATATTTATATTGCTACACATATTATGCTACACATATGCTACACATATACATATTGCTTCAATGACACTTACAAAAAGATGAAAGACTCTTCGGTAATTACATGATCAACAACTTCGCGAAAAAAACNAAAAAACCCACCGCTTTTTCGTGACTTCCAATGAGGAAGTTTAGAACAACTGATTATAGTCGCATGTGGTTGACGACTGCACCATCCCACATCAAAAATCGATGCGAAGGTACTACGAACGTAGTCAATATCCTTGCACAGGAGACTAAAATACCAACGCGAAAACTTCTTGAGGTTTTGTGGAAAAATGCCAAAAACCTTACAATGAATAGCAGGGATGAATGCCCGGAGGTCATACGCGACCTGATCCCGTATGTTCGCATCGATTTTTGATGTGGGATGGTGCAGTCGTCAACCACATGCGACTATAATCAGTTGTTCTAAACTTCCTCATTGGAAGTCACGAAAAAGCGGTGGGTTTTTTCGAGAAGTTGTTGATCATGTAATTACCGAAGAGTCTTTCGTCTTTGTGTAAGTGTTATTGAAGCGTTTGGCCTAGCAGATTGTATATCAGTATACCCTTCCAGGCTCTGAAGAAGGCGGTACTGCCGAAACGTCAGCTAGTGTTGTATTGTATTGTGTTTTTCTATATGGAAGTAAATGTATGCTGTTTAAAAACCTCGCGATTGCTGAACAAGAAAACGACACATTCATATTCCAATGCCGAGGTTAAGAGAAAGTCGATCCTGGGAACTATTTCTTTCATGAGTTCAAACTCGGTCGTAGCGCAGCAGAGATGGCTCGAAACATTGATGAGCTTTGAGGCGAAGGTAGTGTTGGTGAATCAACAGTGGAAGTATGGTTACGGAAATTCCGATCTGATGATTTCCACCTCGAAGATAAGGGAGGCCATGGGCTTCCCAGTGAACTTGACGGCGACGAATTGAAGGCACTAGTGAAAGCGAACACGCGAACAACTATTCGAGAGCTCGAAAGACCGACTTTCTATAAACCCCGGCATAGATAATTGATATATTTATTTATGTGATCTTATAAACCGATCTTCTTAAGCTGACGCGAGGTTGGTACAGATCTTCGTTGTCGTTGTCGTTGTTTTTGATGTTATTGATCGATGGCTGACGTTTCGGTGACTTCGCCTTCCTCCCTGGACGTACTTTATGTTAGAATACTTTTTATTATTCGGTGGAAAAGAAGGTTAAAGTATTAATGAAGATCAAACTTTCAAATAGACGCTATATTGAACAGAAAGGCCACTCAACGTGATGTTACATGCGGGACTGGCCCACACGTAGTTCACGCGAGCAAGACACGCCCCGGGGTCAAAATATCATTTTGAAATACGGTGCCAGGTCACGCGTGATAGTGAGGCATTCGTCCTTCCGGTTCGTCTTCGGATTTTTGAAATTTATCCAAAACGCCTCAAGAGTTTTGCACGTTGATGTTTTCGATTCCTGCGCTAGGATCCGCACATTCACTTCAAAATCATCGCCGTTGTGCTTTTGTGCCCTATGCGTACCTAGTGGGGTGTTTAAACGGATTTTAGCTTTTCCATCTAGATGTTCTTTTATGCGAACACAAAGTGGCCTACCCGTTTCCCCAATATATTCCTCGCCACATGCATTAGATGAGATTAAGTATATTATACCTAAACTCATGTAATCCCCGTCTCTCCCGTTAGTGCAGATTATACAGTTTCCTGAGCTACACAAACGATCATAGAGACGGTTTCGAACTAACTGGCGGCGTAGGGTATTGGGTGGAATGTCAATAATCGTTGCATATTTTTCAAGACCACTTTTTCTTAGGCACTTTTTAATGGCGTGACTTACTTCATTTGATATGAAGGGCAGCTTAAAGGGGATCCTACTGTCGTCTGAAATATTATTTTGGGAAACTACCCAATGTTTTCCTCTAACCCGAGTGGCTTCTACTTCGTAGCCATTGGAAATGGCAATTTTTCGTGCCAGGTTTCGCGATTCCTTCCTTTCCTCTTCTCTTGTACACACATTTTTAGCCGTACGATACATATTTTTGATAAGTGCTTTTTTCATGTGTGAAGGATGAGAGGAGAGGCAGTGGACTACAGTGTTTTTACTACTTGGCTTGCGATACCATTTTGTTAAATAGCCACTTACTGAGAGCTTTATTTGGATGTTTAAGAATGGAAGCCAGTTCTCGGTAGGTTTTTCTCGTGTAAATTTTATATACTTTGACTGTCGGTCTAATAATAATAATATATTAATAATAAAAAAAATAATTCAAAGCACTCATCCATCTGTTCTTGTGTGTTCCACACAAGTTCAAGTGTGTTCAAGTTCTTGTGTGTTCAAGAAGATCAGTTTATAAGATCACATAGATAAATATTCGAGAGCTTACAGAACAGCTCGGCTTAAGCACAGGAGCAATTTCCACTCACCTGAATGGCATAGGAGAGACAAAATAACTCCCCAAGTGGGTGCCGCACGAATTAAACTGCAATAAAAAAAATCGCCGCTTTGAAGTGTCGTCTGCTCTTATCCTGTGCAACAAAAATGACCCTTTTCATGAATAAATTGTGGCGTGCAAGGAGAAGTGGATTCTTTTAACAACCAGCCACGTTCAGCTCAATGGTTGGATTGTAATCAGGCTCCACAGCATTTCCCAAAGCCAACATTGCACCAAAAAATGCTTATGTGGGCTGTTTGGTGGTCAGCAGATGCGCTAATTCATCAAAGCTTTTTGAATCCGTGCAAAACGATTAAGGCAAAGAAGTATTGCCAACAAATCGACAAAATGCACCGTGAACTCTAACAACAATGACCGGCATTAGTCAGCAGGAAGGACCAAATCTTCTCGATGCAATGCCCACCTCACATTGTGGAACCAGTGCTGCAAAAGTTGAATGAGTTCGACTACGAAACTGCCTTATCCGACATGTTCGTCAGACCTCTCGCCTACCGACTACCCCAACCACGATGACGCAAAAATTCGCCCAACGAATTTATTGCCTCCAGAACTCCAGAATGTATGCAACGGGAAAAAAATAAATTTGTTTTTCGTTAGGAAAAGTGTCTAGGTTCAAACTATTTCTATTTTCTTCGTATTTTTGTTGAGCAAACGCGAGGTGTTACTATTCTTTGTTCACGATTAAGCTGACGTTTCGGCGGATTTCGCCTTCTTCAGAGCCGCTTTCTATGAGGTTTCTACTATGTCACGTAGAGACCAACCACACCGCACATGTATATAATGTACTTATACATTATACTTCCACGTGATTTCTGTGCGGTTGGTCTCTACGTGACATACTTAGTGGAAACCTCATAAGCGGCTCTGAAGAAGGCGAAATCCGCCGAAGCGTCAGCTTAATCGTGAACAAAGAATAGTAACACCTCGCGTTTGCTCAACAAAAATACGAAGAAAATCACTTGATCAATGCTGAGGTTAATAGAAAGTCGGTCGTGGCAGTTATTTCTATTTTGATTGATACTTGATACTCTGTACTTGAACGACCCGTCCTGTAGTTGTGCTGGCCCCACACCATTTTTCGAAGATTTTTTGGTTAAACCATTGTGGTTTCCTGGAATCCCGAGGTCAGCCTGGCC